AAATAGGGGAAATTATTTTCCTGAGAAGGATTTTAAGGAGTGGTAAAGTTAGGGAACTGACAGAATGTAGGGGTCAATCCTCTCTAGGAGCAAGCAGAATGGGGAAGAGTTAAAGTTGGAATATAGATTATGAGTTCAAAGCCAGCCTCAGCAACTTAGCAAGATCCTAAGCAATTCAATTTAGAGATCTCTAAACTTAAAAAAATACAAAAAAAAGGGGGGAGGGGGCTGAGGATGTGGCTCAGTGGTTTGGTGCCCCTGGGTTCAATCCCTAGTACCAAAAAAAAAAAAAAAAAAAAAAAGAAGATGGAAGATGGTTGGTTAATGACCACAACCAAAAGGTTAAGGCACAAAAAGGGGGAAAAATGCCATAAAAAGGACTGGGACCCCAAAGCCAGAAACCAACGAGATTCAGACTCTATAGCAATAGTCCAAATGAAAATCAAAGGAGCATTTTAAAATAATAAGTAGATCTAAGTTCTTCCCTTCAAGAAACGTATAAATATTGATTCACTTTTATCCTAAAGAATGAAGTCATTATACTATAGCAATGCATGTGTACCCATGTTTATAGAAGCACAATTCACAATAACAAAACTATGAAACCAGCCTAGTTGTCCATCAGTGGATAAATAGATCAAGAACATGTATTATATACATATGTATATATATATATATATATATATATATATATATATATATATATACACCATGGAATTTTAGTCATTCATAAAGAGTAATGAAATTCTGTCATTTGCAGGAAAGTGGATAGAACTTGGGAACATTGTGTTATGTAAAATAAGCCAAACTCAGAAAGTCAAGGGTCCTGTTTCTTTTCATATGTGGATGCTAGCGAGAAAAGAGGAAAATAAAAGTGGGAACAGGAATCTCACGAAAATCAAAGGGAGATCAGTAGAGGAAAAGGACTAGGGGATGGGAGAAAGGGAGGGAAGGGGAGATACTGGGAAATGATATTGGCCAAATTTCATTGTCGTATTGTGTGCACTTATGAATGTGTAGAACATTATGTACAACCATAATGCACCAATTAAAATATGGGGAAAAAAGAAAAGTATTGTATTAGTCAGCTTTTTCACTGCTGTAACTGCCTTCACAATTATAGAGACCAGCACAATGATAGAGAAGAAAGAGTTTATTTGAGGGCTCACAGTTTCAGAGGTCTGAGTCCATAGAAGTCTGGCTCCATTTCTCAGGGCTCAAGATGAGACTGAACATCATGGTGGAGTGTGTGTTACAGAGGGAAGCAGCTCACAGAATGGTGATCAAGAAGCAGAGAGAAAGAGACTCTACTCTCCAGATACAAATATATATCCCAAAGCGACTCCCTAATTCCACTCCTCCAGCCATACTCCACCACTTGGGTTACCACTCAGTTAATCCCTATCAGGGGATTAATTCACTGATTGAGTTAAGACTCTCAGAACCCAAACATTTTTCCTCCAAACTTTCTTGCATTGTCTCATGTGAGCTTTTGGGGGACACCTCACATCCAAACCATAACAAGTATAAAGACTGGAATAACTGAAGGGGATCAGAATACACATGCCACCCTAAAATATAACCCTGTGGTATATTGATTATTGTGATCTGAAGGCAACAGGAAAAAAATAAAACAGAAGGACTCTGACTTCCCCTTTACTACCTAAAAGTAGGGCATAAATTTCCCATAAGAAAAGTGCCCTTTCTGTACCAGGAGGAGAACATCTTATCAATGGAGTCAGGGGTCGATGCTGAGATGAATCTAGGCAAATCTACTAAAATAATTCTTATCATCCACTAGCTTCCCTCTGTATATTTCCTAGAACCTTCCCATGCTTCATTGTCCATAACCCATCCAACTTTTTCTTTTGTCTTCTCACACACCCACGATGTACCATTCCTTGCTAAAATGGTATATAACCTCTCAGGCGTATCCACTTTGGGGTCTCCATGTCTCACATATGAAGGCCTCTGTGTACCTGTCAAACATTATCATCCAATATAACTGGTCAACCTTTCTCTTGAAGACTGTCTTTTGTAAGTTTAGTTCTCAGGCCCAGCTATAGAACCTAAGTGGATAAAGGACAATCTTTTCTCCCCACACATCTACTCTCTTTCCCCACCATGGCCTACTCCAGCCTTTTTTTTTTTTTTTTGATGCCCAAGAGAGAGTGTCTGTAATGTACCTTTTCAAACACAGAATGTGGATATAAAGAAGAAGAAAAGAATCAGGGTATGTCCCTCAAAAACCATTGAAAGTAGCACAATCCTGACTTAGAACTGACTAAAATTGAAAGCAATGTTCAAGATAAAAGTTCGTAGCTACAGCACTGATGTTTCCTTCATGACTAACAATTTCTTATCTGTTTTCCCCCCAGATCTTATTTCTAAAATTTGAAAAATATGTAGAATGAACTAATTTATTTTTAAAATTATTTATTGATTTATTTGTTGTAATTAGTTACACATGATAGTAGAATGCATTTTGTTGTTGTGATGGTGGTGGTGGTGGTGGTAGTGCTGGGGATTAAATACAGGGCTGTGTGCATGTGAGGCAAGCACTCTACCAACTGAGTTATGTTTTCAGCCCAGTAGTAGAATGCATTTTGACACATCATACATAAATGGAGTATAACTTCTTATTCGTCTGGTTGTACATGATGTAGGGTTATACAGCTCATGTAATCATATATGCACATAGAATAATAATGTCAGATTTATTCTACTATTCTTCCTAGTCCCATACCCCTTCCCCCCCTTTATTCCCCTTCCCCCCTTTATTCCACCCCTCCCTTATTGTGAATTAGCATCCTCATATCAGAGTAAACATTAAGCCTTTGGTTCTTTGGGATTGGCTTATTTCACTTAGCATAACATTCTCCAGTTCCATCCATTTAGTGGCAAATGCTATAATTTCATTCTTCTTTAAGGCTGAGTAATATTCCAGTGTGTACATATACCATAGTTTCTTTATCCATTCATATGTTAAAGGGCAGCTAAGTTGGTTCCATAGTTTAGCTATTGTGAATTGAGTTGCTATGAAAATTGATGTGGCTGTGTCACTGTAGTATGACTAATTTCTAAAGAAAATAAAGCATTATGCTCTGAAAGTCAAAATCAAATGCTCTACATGGAGACATTCATGTGAAATATCTGCTTGCTTTCATTTTTTAAAACTGTTTCAATGGTAGAGTGGATCGGTTGGATGCTGGGAGACTCAGGTTGCACTTGTTTAATGTTCTGCAAAACATTGGACTTCACAGTGTTGGATATCCAGGACATAGCATTTTTCTTTGTGTATAATATTTTATTGGATGTAAGACTTCCTAAGATGCATCATTATTTTATGTATCTAACACAAAAGAACTGACAAAGAAAGAGGTGTTATTCAAACTATAAGCAACAACTAAGTGTAAGTGACATTTGATTTTAGAGATGTTTATGTGAGGATGGGACATGCCTGTGAAAAAATGAAACCTGGCAACTTCTTGCCCTTGACTGTACCTGAGGGAGTCTGGGGGCTCCTATACAAAATCCTACATCTGCTTACTGCTTACTAGAACATTCCTGCTGAGGGACATAACACCATTGTTTTCTTCTTCCTGCTTCGAATTAGGTCTCAGTCCTATGAAAACGGAGAATCGTGGTCTGTGGGTCTTGGACATTCTTCTGGGAAATCAGCACAGGTCTAGGCACAAAGTGCTCAGTCATTGGCTCCTAGTTTACCAAGCACTCCACACTAAAGCAGCACGTTCTCTGCACCACCTGACCCATGCCACACTCACGAGAGAGGCAGGCAGGAATGATTACCCACACTTCACAAAAGCACAGGACAGGGATGGTGGCCACATTAAGTAGTTTCACACGCCCAGTGTCATACCATGAGCAAATGGTGTTGCTGTCCGGAAAGCCTACAATTTCCACCTCCCAGAAACATTCTTTTTTTTTTTTGTTACCTTTTTCAACTTCCAGAATGAAGTACCGAGCCTAAAACTTCTATATCATGTTTCCCAACCATCAGGAGACCAGGGAGCACCCTGAACTCCTGAGATCAGTACCCCAGCTCTGTCTGTGTGTGGATGCCTAGGACGTCAGAGCCACTTCCTCTGGGATGCTACTCCCACCTCTCAGCCAGTCTTTTCTTCCTCCACTGTGAAGCTTCCCCACCTCATGACCCAGGAAGCAAAGAGAGTTCAAGTCATGGGTTTAAGATTTTTATTCTTTTTTGGGGGAGGCAGGGGTGTGCCAGGGATTGAACTCAGGATCACTCAACCACTGAGCCACATCCCCAGCCCTTTAGAAAAAGGGGCTTTTTTTGTATTTTATTAGAGACAGGGTCTCACTGAGTTGCTTAGCGCCTCTCCATTGCTGAGGCTGGCTTTAAACTTGCAATCCTCCTGCCTCATCCTCTCGAGCCGCTGGATTACAAGTGTGCGCCACCATGCCTGGCAAAATTTTTATTCTCTACTTGAGTATTTTCTAAAATACAAAAACAGAAAAACACATGCACACACACACACCCTAACATTTTAAGAAAAACAAATCTCAGCTCTTTGAAGAACTGGTTTCTCCTGGTTGAAGTGCAGAAATGATGGCAACAGCATAAAAACACTACGATTTCATGACCCCAATATGCTTCTCTCTCTGAAAGGGTAAAAAAAAAAATTAACACATGATCTTTTCACTGTTTGTTCCTTGCCATAAAAGGGGAGCTTCACCGGCAGAAAGCAGAGCATTCAACTTACAAAAAATTTAGGGAAAGAAGATCTTTCAGGGGATAATTCTTCCTTGAGTCAAACCCCTTCCACTCCTTCCCATTTTTTTTTTATCAGAAAATAAAGGATTTATTTTTTCCTCAAAGGGGGACCAGGCAGGATCGTGGCATCTCGGGTGCCTCACTGTGAGGATATGCTGTCTTTCCCATTAAATAATAAAATATGCTCTAGAGTCTCATGACTCCTCAGACCCGGGGGACATTAAACCAGGCTCATCAAGCACCACCCATGTGGAAAGATATGAATATATTTTACCTGATGCACACATATTTCCTCTGCAGCTGCCTGGGAAGCCTTGCTTCCTTATGGGCTCAGCTCACTCCTTCCCAAAGAAGACAAAAGGGAGGAAGAAAGGGGGAAAGAGAAAAGGATAGGTCTTATTCAAAATTGTGGGAAAAAGGCATTTGTAATACATGCAAAGATTCCAGCCTGAACGAGCATGTCAAATTCTTAATCAAAAAGCTCCTTTCTTATTTGAGGTATTATTTTGTTTTATTTTTACTTGTTAGATGAATTTTTACATAACTTTATTTGAGTTGCTGTAGGCTGAGCTGGTGGTCATTTCATGTTCTATTAATTGGGAATGATCAAATGTTTTCTATCATGATTTCATGTCTCATCTACTTTGGTCTGAAAGCACCCAAACCTTGCCCTGCTAGAGGACTTGTTGAGGCTTATATGTTGAAGCCAAGTAAAGATACAAATCATGAATTCCATTGCAACACCTACTAATTGTCAGATGTTTTTGTGGAAGACTCTAATTAAACCCCGTAGGAAAAGAACACCAAGCAGTGGAAAAAGAAAAATCAGTCACTTAAACAACTCTGCTGAGAGCTTCAAATAGACACAGAAAAACATCCTAAAAGTAGTGTTATTATTGTTGTTGTTGTTGTTGTTTTCCAGGCAAAGATAAGAAAAATCAGGAATAGAGAAATGTTGGGCTAGATAATCATATTCTAAGCATCTGAAAGGTAGCATCTATAAAAACTTTATGAGATGCGCTAAATTTATTCCAGACAAAATCTTCATCGACTGACTGCCTATTAGATTGTCTTTATTGTCTTTCTTTCTTTATAGAGCTGTCAAAGGAAGATTCCTCATGCTCAACCAATCATGGAAGATTCTTTAAAGACCCAAGAGAAGAAAGAGATTGGTACATCAACCTAATTCATGTAGATGAAAACCCCTCCTCCATTTCCACTGTTAACAGTCACCCAAAAAAAAAAGTCAAAAAGACAGTCTTTTCTGAGATGCTCCTTGACAGGACAAATGACAACCACCCCGAAACATAACATATACTTCTCAAAATAAGAAAAAGCACTAAACTTGTACCACAAAATCCTCATCACAAAATCCTCATGAGATCAGAGAATGCAGAAGTTCCTCTCGACTGAGACAAAATGTCTTTCTCACGGAGGCAAATGTTAAGAGACCTCAAAATCATACTTTGTGATTGAGATATGCCAGGATTCGGAAAGTCAACTCTCAAATTTTATACTCGTGGTGGGTGTGGTAGCACATGACTGTAATCCCAGTGGCTCTGGAGGTTAACACAGGGGAATTACAAACTTGAGGTCGGCTTCAGCAAATTTGCGAGGACCTAAGCAACTTTGTGAGAACCTCTCTTAAAATTTAAAAAAAGGGGGAGGGCAAGAATGTGGCTTAATGGTGAAGCACCTCTAGGGTCAATCCCTAGTACCTTAAAAACAATAAAAATTGTTATTCATGCCTCAACAACACTCACAAAAGTCACAGGGTCAAAGCCAAATCAAAGATACTCATCTCTTATGCTTTCCTACCTTGGACATGGCTGGGATGCCACAAGGTGTCTGAATGGAGAATTGGATCAAAGCAATCTTCTGGGTACCATTTCCCTGCTGCCTTGTCCAGCAGCAGAACAGTGTCCTGTGAACTTTTCTCATGCTACTCAACTTCCTTCTGAATGGGTACAAAACACCATATAACTTGGGTTTGCAAAATACTGTATGACTTGGGTCTTATCCATCTTCCCCATACCTGCATATGAGCTTTCTATATGGTTTTAAAACACACTGAGCTCTCCAGATCTGGATGGTCTCACCTTCCAGCCTGACCTACCTCACAATCATGGAAGTCCATTCTTTCCTTCTTCCCCCATCTTCATGGAAGAAAGCTCCCTCCTCCTGTGGTAGAATAACACTTGAGGTTCAGCTCATCAGGGCCAGCACCATCTGTCATTGAGCAATGGAATCCTCCTCTCTCTTCTAACACATTCCCTTCTGCATGTAACATCACAGATCTCTCACACAGTAACAACTTCACCCGTTCTCTCTAGGTTGTATTTCTTACCATATCTCTCACCCTACAAACCAATTATATTTAATAGTTTTTTGGAAATAAGTGGGTATGCCACAACAATCTAGCTATTATTCACTTTTTACTAATAGGGTTTTTGTTCAGGTCACCAATGCCCTTTATATACCACATCATAGAACTCCTTACCTTTCCCCTTTTAGCAATCTTCGTCTGGAGGTGGGAGGCTGGATACTTTACTCTCCTCTTCTGTTGTAAACTCTCTCCTTTGAAATCCACAAGTTCTTCTCTTTTATTTCTGCTTCTGTTCCTCTGGTTACCTGAATATAAATTAGGAGGCTTGGCGGTTATCAGATGATCTTCTTGCTTAGGAACCTAAAATGACCCTATATTTCTTCCCATTTGCCCCCTTTTCCACCCAGAACATTTGACAACCTATTACCATTCCCCATCTGTAACATTAACATCTCTTTCAAGGCTCTACCACATCTTTGTTGATGCCCCAAATCATTGTCACAGAGAACATAAATGCCATTTCACCAGTTTTAAATTCATAGAAGAATTTAAAGAGAGGTAAAGTAAATTTAAAGAGAGGTATAGAGAAGTAACATAACAGCCAATTATTTTTCTAAGAGCTCAAGTTGACAGGAGAAGGAAAGGAAGAAGAAAATCAAGTCAAACATTCTCTAGCCTTCAAGTTTTCATTTATCACAAGTTGGATAATAATTGTCCTCCCTAGTTTTTATTCTGAGTGAGCTTTTATACATCTCTTCCTCACACTCCCTTCTGAGGCATAGTGTAATTGCTTTGATTAGTTTATCTGTCAAAGTTTTCCCATCATCTCTCTTTGAACACCCAGTGAGTCTTCCCTGTGTACCATGAATTCATTAACAAATTGACCCTCAGGAAAGATAAAGAGTGTATGAAGGCATAGAAAAGACAAGAAAATGAGAATTCCTTGTAAAATATGGGCATTTTTATATCCAGCAGGACAAGTGGGGCAGGAAGCATGAGCATAAGACAAGACACCTGTTCCCAGTGTTGTTCACTGTCCCGTCTAGGGTCAAATATCCAGCACTATACAAGCTGTGAGCTTTCAGTGGACCTGTGCACACCTTTTCAAAATTTGGATTAAGGAGGGAGGTGTTTGGGTATAAAGAAGGAGGCCAGGTGGTCATCGAGTCATACCCTTCTCAAGAACCTAAAATGACTATTTCACACTGACTAAAGATGTTCAACAAATACATCTGGACTTTCTGCTTTAAATTTTAGGCATATCCCTGTGACTTCTGTTGGCCGATGAAATACAAGTGAAAATATAAGGTGGCACATTCATGTGGAAGCCATCAATGCCTCTGTGCAAGTCATTATATTCTCTGATTTGTCTTCTGCCATGGCCATCAGAAGCACTACAGAAGGGGTGCTCATCAGCAGGGGTCCCAAGGTGAGATAATGCAGAGGAAACCATCCCAGCCAACCTGCAAGGAATATGGAGTAGAGGCAAACTAGCATTTTTAAACACAGTGTATCTGGGTCTGTGTTGAATAGTACCCGTCCATCAAATCTAGCATCCTCAATCCCAACTAATTAGCCGTCTTGCTAGCTTTTGTATCCTTGTCTGTTAACATGCTCCAACATGAAGCACTCAGATGAAGGGAAGTGGATTCATTTTCTATTGCAGTGTAACAAATTACCATGAATTAGCAGCTTAAAAGAACACCATTTCAGGCGGATCAGGCCCGGTGGCCTGCCGGCGTGGTACACTCGTCACCCCAATTGGAGTAGGGGCAGAGCAGAGCCGCCGCCCGCGCCCGGAACAGGCCCAGTGACCTGCCGGCGTGGTAGTCACGACACCCCAATTGGAGTAGGGGCAGAGCAGAGCCGCCGCCCGCGCCTGCAAAGGAGGCAGACCGCCGCCCGACCCTGCAAGGGAGACTTTTAAACTATACAAGAGCAATATAAATATATAGGGGGAAAAAAATTTCAAAAACACAACAGTTTCACCAAGCAGAAAGAAATGCAAGCAGTATGAAAAGACAAGGAAAGAAAGGACCACAAGCAATGCAGGTCAACTCAACTTTAGAAGAGGTAATAGCTGCAGCAGATGGAATGGCAGATAAAGAATTCAGGATATACATGATTCAGATGATCTGGAGTATCAAGGAAGACATTAGACAGCAAAATCAGACAATGAAAGATCACTTCGACAATGAATTACACAAACAAATCCAGGAAGCAAAGGATCAACTATACAGGGAGATAGAGGTTATAAAAAACAAACAACAGAAATCCTAGAAATGCAGGAAGCAATAAACCAACTTAAAAACTCAATGGAGAATACTACCAGCAGAGTAGAACACTTAGAAGATAGAACATCAGACAATTAAGACAAAGTATTTCAACTTGAAAAGAACATAGACAGCTCAGCAAGACTGTTAAGAAACCATGAGCAGAACATCCAAGAAATATGGGATAACATTAAGAGACCAAATTTAAGAGTCATTGGGATACAGGAAGGTACAGAACTCCAAACCAAAGGAATGAGCAATCTATTCAATGAAATAATACGAGAAAACTTCCCAGACTTGAAGAATAAGACAGAATCCCAAATCATAGAAGCCTACAGGATGCCGAATGTGCAAAATCATAAGAGATCCACACCTAGACACATTATAATGAAGATGCCCAACATATAGAATAAGGAGAGAATTTTAAAAACTACAAGAGAAAGGAAGCAGATTACATTTAGGGGTAAGCCAATCAGGATAACAGCTGATCTTTCAACACAGACTCTGAAAGCTAGAAGATCCTGGAATAACATATTTCAAACACTGAAAGAAAATGGGTTCCAACCAAGAATTGTGTTTCCAGCGAAATTAAGCTTCAGGATGGAAGATGAAATTAAAACCTTCCACGATAAACAAAAGTTTAAAGAATTTACAGCTAGAAAACCATCTCTTCAAAACATCCTTGGCAAAACATTACAGGAAGAGGAAATGGAAAATAACAATGAAAACCAACAGTGGGAGGTAGGACAGTAAAGGGGGGAAAATAATCAAAGAGGAAAACAAACCATGTTTAGTAACAGAAATAAACAAATATGGCTGGAAGAACAACCCATATCTCAATAATAACCCTAAATGTTAATGGCTTAAACTCACCAATTAAGAGACACAGGCTAGTAGAATGGATCACAAAACAAGACCCAACAATATGCTGCCTACAGGAGACGCATCTGATAGGAAAAGACATACATAGGCTGAAGGTGAAAGGTTGGGAAAAATCATATCACTCATATGGACTTCGGAAACAAGCAGGAGTGTCCATACTCATATCAAATAAAATAGATTTCAAGCCAAAGTTAATCAAAAGGGATAAAGAGGGACACTACATACTGCTTAAGGGAACCATACACCAACAAGACATAACAATCATAAATATATATGCCCCAAACAATGGTGCAGCTATGTTCATCAAACAAACTCTTCTCAAGTTCAAGAGTCTAATAGACCAGCATACAATAATCATGGGAGACTTCAACACACCTCTCTCGCCACTGGACAGATCTTCCAAACAAAAGTTGAATAAGGAAACTATAGAACTCAATAACACAATTAATAACCTAGACTTAATTGACATATATAGAATATACCACCCAACATCAAGCAGTTACACTTTTTTCTCAGCAGCACATGGATCCTTCTCAAAAATAGATCATATATTATGTCACAGGGCAACTCTTAGACAATATAAAGGAGTAGAGATAATACCATGCATCCTATCTGATCATAATGGAATGGAACTGAAAATCAACGATAAAAGAAGGAAGGAAAAAGCATACATCAATTGGAGAATGAACAATAGGTTACTGAATGATCAATGGGTTATAGAAGACATCAAGGAGGAAATTAAAAAATTCTTAGAGATTAATGAAAACACACACACAACATATCAGAATCTATGGGACACATTGAAAGCAGTTCTAAGAGGAAAATTCATTGCTTGGAGTTCATTCCTTAAAAAAAGAAAAAACCAACAAATAAATGATCTCATACTTCATCTCAAAATCCTAGAAAAAGAAGAGCAAAACAACAGCAAAAGAAGTAGAAGGCAAGAAATAATTAAAATCAGAGCTGAAATTAATGAAATCGAAACAAAAGAAACAATTGAAAAAATTGACAAAACTAAAAGTTGGTTCTTTGAAAAAAATAAACAAAATCGACAGACCCTTAGCCATGCTAGCGAAGAGAAGAAGAGAGAGAACTCAAATTACTAGCATACGGGATGAAAAAGGCAATATCACAACAGACAATTCAGAAATATAGAAGATAATCAAAAATTATTTTGAATCCTTATACTCCAATAAATTAGAAGATAGTGAAGGCATCGATAAATTTCTTAAGTCATATGATCTGCCCAGATTGAGTCAGGAGGATATAGACAACCTAAACAGACCAATATCAATTGAGGAAATAGAAGAAACCATCAAAAGACTACCAACTAAGAAAAGCCCAGGACCGGATGGGTATACAGCAGAGTTTTACAAAACCTTTAAAGAGGAACTAATACCAATACTTTTCAAGCTACTTCAAGAAATAGAAAAAGAGGGAGAACTTCCAAATTCATTCTACGAGGCCAACATCACCCTGACACCTAAACCAGACAAAGACACTTCAAAGAAAGAAAACTACAGACCAATATCTCTAATGAACCTAGATGCAAAAATCCTCAATAAAATTCTGGTGAATCGGATACAAAAACATATCAAAAAAATTGTGCACCATGATCAAGTAGGATTCATCCCTGGGATGCAAGGCTGGTTCAATATACAGAAATCAATAAATGTTATTCACCACATCAATAGACTTAAAAATAAGAACCATATGATCATCTCGATAGATGCGGAAAAAGCATTGGACAAAGTACAGCATCCCTTTATGTTCAAAACTCTAGAAAAACTAGGGATAACAGGAACATACCTCAATATTGTAAAAGCAATCTATGCTAAGCCTCAGGCTAGCATCATACTGAATGGAGAAAAATTGAAGGCATTCCCTCTAAAATCTGGAACAAGACAGGGATGCCCTCTCTCACCACTTCTGTTCAACATAGATCTCGAAACACTGGCCAGAGCAATTAGACAGATGAAAGAAATTAAAGGCATAAAAATAGGAAAAGAAGAACTTAAATTATCACTATTTGCAGGTGACATGATTCTATACCTAGCAGACCCAAAAGGGTCTACAAAGAAACTATTAGAGCTAATAAATGAATTCAGCAAAGTGGCAGGATATAAAATCAACACGCATAAATCAAAGGCATTCCTTTATATCAGCGACAAATCCTCTGAAATGGAAATGAGGACAACCACTCCATTCACAATATCTTCAAAAAAAATAAAATACTTGGGAGTCAACCTAACAAAAGAGGTGAAAGACTTATACAATGAAAACTACAGAACCCTAAAGAGAGAAATAGAAGAAGATCTTAGAAGATGGAAAAATATACCCTGTTCATGGATAGGCAGAACTAACATCATCAAAATGGCGATATTACCAAAAGTTCTCTATAGGTTTAA